TGCTCTCCAGGAGTGTACTTACTTGGGACTGCTGCAACTTTGTCCAGTTTGAGAACACCCCTTGAAGCCAACCCAGGCTAGGCTTTGAGAGTAAAGAGGATGAAGCCTGAGCTCCTTCCCAATCTGCCCTGGCTTATCTGTTCCTCACCTTTCCCAGTTCTCTGTGGCTCTAACTCAAGGAGCAAGCATCCAGTTCTCCTCCTGAGAGAGGAATATCACCTCCTCTTGGGGTGACACAGTTCCAAGGCACACAGTAGAATCTCTTCAGTGAAGGCATTTACTGGGGCAAAGGCGAGTCAGCCAGAGGTTTTCTTTCCACTCCAGTCCTTCCAGCCTCAGTCCAGCCCATACAAGCCTGAGCATCCTCAGACATACTCAGCTGCTCCCTTCCCAGTCTCTCCAACTCCCCGAAGCTTCTCCATTTCTCAGTCCCTCCTAGATTCTTCTAGACATGAGCTACCAAGCTTCTGTTTTCCAGCCTGCTCTCCCATTGTCATGGTTATTTCCTCTGGATACCTCCTAGGTGTCAACGAAGGCTCTCAAGGCTCTGCTGATGCTAAAGGTCCATCTGGTCTCACCTTGCACATAGCCAGCCCTGGCACTTAACCCCTCCTTCTGTGTGTGCAGGCAGAGGTAAACTGAGGCACACAAGATTGTAAAAATGTTAACGCAGAAATATCACAATAAAACTGTCTGTCACAATCAGAGCAGTCTTTAACAGTATAATGAAGAGCATGTCCTTGTTATAATAAACGCAGGCTGGAATGAAACTGGATTTTGATGCCTGGAAGGACCTACATCATAGACATATAGAATTAATGCACAAATAATGCCGTTTAGTTTGGACAGTTTTCCTTGATAATGATGTTCAATACAACTTAGAGATAATGAATAGTAGTTGTATGGGGGTTGTTTCAAAATCCACCTGACAAGCAGTGTTACCAACTCCCAGGACTCCTGAGCGCTGAGATTTTAGCTGGCACCAGAGCCAGTTTTGCAATGCCACAAGCAGTGAATTTCAACCCAGCTTGGGTGAGTCCCCCTCATCCCAACCCTTGATTGTCTGCCTGCTACACTTACCTGCCTCTTATGGGCACAACAGTTAATTGGGGATGCTTTAGGAAGCAGGCAAAAACTTCTTTCTTCTCAACAGCCTGACACCCCTCTCAGGATGAGAATGGGGAGAAAAGCAGGAAGAACCAAGCAGAACTGTGGTTCTGCCCCTGCCTATGATCAATACAACCCCCTGCAGGTATGTTCACCAGCTTGGATGGAGGAGCAGGAGATCCCACTGCAGCTATCTGGAAGAAGAGGACTGAAGAATCCTTGAAGCCCAGGGGTAAGGCTGGGGGATGAACAGGAACTGAAGTGAGGGATAATTCATGTGGGACTGGGGAACAGGTTCACTTGAAACCTCTATTTTTCCTTTGGCTAATCCAAGGACCGAGAAGAGCCTGAGTGTTTTGTGTCTTCACTCAACTGTTTTATGAACACAGCTACATTTTTACAGAATCTCAGGCAAAGATGGGAAGAATCCACTATGTTGATATTTAATGAACACCAAATGATTTGGCAGTTTATGAATCCAGTTTGCTCTCCCCGGCCCTGATGAATAAGTGAAATGGCTCAAGAAGTCATGAAGAAATCATGCTCCAGTACTGCTTCCTTCCTCTTCCAATCATTGTGTCCCTGCTGCATTGCCTGGAGCAGGAACAAAGATGTGGGAGTGAGCTAGTACAGTCACTGACAGCTCCTCTCTGAACTGTATGAAGATAACTGCTCTTTGACTAGGTGTTTTTGACTAGTGTCCCTTTTTAGTAACACTTAATGTGCATTAAAATAGGCTAATGCGCACTAAAGTTCCCATGTAGACGTACCCACGGTCTGCTTCTAGTTGTCATTCAACGAATCCCTATAGTAGTACTTCTGTTTAAAGGACCACGTGACAGAATGAAAATGGAAGAGGTGCCTAGCAGTAACAAAGGTGAGCCAAAGCACTATTTAAAACTGCCTTACTTAGTGAAACAACTTTTATTATCTGACTGATGTAAGGCACTGAATTGAGGTTAAACTACCCTGGGAAAAAAATGAATGCAGAAGTTGAATACAGAACTGATCATTAGGATCTTTTAAGACAAAAAAAATCTTTTTCCCATGTTTTATCTCTGGGATGCAGAAATATTGGAATAAAGTGAAGCTTTTAAAAGGCTTATGAACATCAGCTATCTTGAGCTTTTGATTTAGAATAACAATAATTTACTTGACTACTTGCAGTCAACCCTTCAGTTGAGTGTTATTGTCTTTGCAGTTGGGATCTTAAAATACAAGACTCAAATCCTACAAAGTCTTACCAATATTAGCAGTCCTATTAATTTTGGTAATAGTATGCACCTGCATAAATGTTACTCACTGCATATACACAATTGAGCTATGTGAAAGCATACAGGTTTGTAAGATGGGGGGGTCTGAACAGGCAGATAATACTGAAAAGACAGTCATACAGAAGGTAAGTAGGCCCTTAGGCCTTATTACCCATCTAATAGGATTAGCATCTAAAACCATAGTACTTCACCTTTTACTGGTGGCTAACAGAACTCTGCGTGGTGTGGTAAAACAGTTACGAGCTATGTGAATGTTACAGAAGGAATTTGGTGATTAAATAAGAGCTTAGTGCACTGAGACATGGATGATATTCCAGGCATAGGAGGAAATGCATTGTTTTGCTGTTTAATTTTTAAACTACAGTAAAGATTTTTCTAAAATATTCCAGAATAAAAATATAGAAGAGGGATGCAACACATGTCGACGTTTATAAGCTAAGTATAATACACCGTTTATATCACAGATGTTGGACAACATTCAAATCCTTCAGATGAAAAGGGAAGCTGATCTCCCAGCTACATTAAAAGATGGGGAAGCAAACCCAAACTTGTGAACATGTCTTGACTTGCACAACACAATGAGAAAACTGACTTGCTCCAACTGGCTTTAAAAAAAAGGGGGGGGGGGCAAATTCTGAAGACTTCAAGGAACCTGTGCAACTAGGTGAGAACTGGGGAGAAACAACTGAGCTGTAGTAAATTGTGAATATCAATTAAGTGCAGTAACCCTGCAACAGCATGGCATGTTCTCCTTTACCTATTGTCCCTGTATTTCTGTACAGTAAATAGCTCACATCTCCATGTTACAGATGAGACAATGGGACACAAAACTAGATTGTCACACCGTCTGCCTCCACATCAAACTTAATGCAAGCAGTTCCTAATAAGGATCATGGATTATCCTTTCATCCTGCTCACAATAGAGCAATACCACACTTCTCAAGCTATACAGTTATTCACAGCACACGAGTGGTCTTGGTAGACAGGCTATCTAACCATCACTGTCTAACAGAGGTAACTGTTCTCCTACACCTGGGCTGCCTTGAGATCCTTTCAAGGGTACTAGGCCATGTTAGCACTGTTAGGTGCACAAATGTGATTCACAAGGAAAACACAGAGATTGCAAATAGGAATCCAGTGTTAGACTCAATTGATACCATGACTCCTAATCTACCTGATTCCTTGTAAACACTTCATCCCACAAATGTTAATAACCATCTCTCCTTTTTAATGGTCTCCATTTTCCACCAGTTGAGCTATTCCTTCTTCAGCAATTTTGCTGCCTGTTGCCTGCTCCTGTAAATGTAGCTCCTATTTCACAGCCTTGCAGCCTGTTTTTAACTCAAGCTAAAAACATAGACTTGGGAAAACATCACCTTAGGCATGGAAATAACTGTCAGCGAAGCATGGGTGCCCTGTCAAAATGCTCAAGCCTCGATTGTGTTTTATGAATCTGAAATAAGAGACAAGACTGAACTCCTAATGACTACCGGACTAATAAAACAGCATCTTTTGATTATGTTTATACATAATAGAAAACTAAGGCATGTTCCAATGAAGTTACCAGAGCAGCTTAGCAAACCTTCTCATTGCCTTGTTACTGGAGGAAAACATGTGTTGTTAGATGTGACAGCTCGCCACAGCATCTGGGCCCCTTTCCGAAATCCTAGACCCACCCAAGAGCATGAGCCCCCTCAAGCATCAGGTCTTACTTTTAGCTTGTTTGTTGATTAGGGAAAAAACAAGAACAGCTCCACTGCAACAAAGAGCTTGGCAAGGCCAAGGCGGCTCTAGCACTCCAGGCTCCTGTTTAGATGCCTTATCACTGGTTTCTTGGCGCTTGTTTCTGCACATGGGAGAGTACGGCCACATCGCGGCACCCTTGACAGGACCCTGAAGTTAACTGCCTGAATCAGCGCTCTGCTGGCCTCCTGCAGGCAGCAACAGCAGCAAAAAATAAGGGAAAGCCAAGTGCTGGCAGCAATGTGTGTGTGTGTGTGGCAGGGGTGGGGGGCTGAGCCCCACTGCCTTGTACCACCCAGCAGCCTGTCTGTGCCCACACAGGATCTCCCCACCCCTGTCCCCTCAGCCAACCCTCCTGCCTCAGCCAGATGCCTTCACCGCCCTGGATGCCCTTGCCAGGGGCCGTGTCAACGGTCCGAGTGGCACTGACAGAGCAAAGCCAGGCCACCGTGTCCCCAAGCACAACCCCCCTCACAGCTAACACACAGAAACCCCTCCTTACCTCCATGCACACCCCCACACAACCCCCACACACACAGAGAAACCCCTCACCCCCACACAACCCCCCACACACACAGAAACCCCTCACCCCCACACAACCTCCCACACACACAGAAACCCCTCCTCACCCTACCTCACATGCACACACACAACCTCTGCTGACGCTCACGCTTGCGCGCGCGCGCGGTGTCCCCTCCCTCCCTCCTGCCCCAGGTTGCGTCCTGTCGGGGAAGCCCCTCAGCTCGCGCTCG